TATTCAATTTTATATAATTACTCACTTAGTATGTTCTGACAAGGTAAATTGGAAAGGGAAATAAAAATTTTAACAGCTGTAAATTATCGGTTCATGCAGACAGTATTACAATCGAGATGATGATAAATGGAGTAATTGACAACAACTAAATAACTGTATGTAAGTTTATCTCATCAAATATGTTAAAGATTCATTGTATTACTGAAAAAAAACGTTCAGTCAAAACAGTGCCTTTTTCTGTCTTTGATTTTGAGTGTCTGATTTATTTTGATTTTTTTAATTATTTAAATACACATGTAATACACGAAAAGCACAACCAGTATTTTCACTTCTTTGCTATTAAATTCCTCATATGATTTTTTTTCGGACAGCATGCTCCTGTTATCCATAAATCTCCACAATCAAATCCATTTTGCATACTGCCTAATCAACTAGGGAAGAAAAATGTCATACCTATTGGGTTTGCAATCTTATGCAAGAGAATGAATATCCAAGACAAATTTGACAATTTAATGAAGGGTACAAGTAACCCAAGAAGAATTGGACAAGTAAACATTACCTGTTGGGTTTTATTCTAATGATGGGATGTAATATCCAAAAGGAGTTGGACAGATGTCCAATACCTAATGCCCTATTGGGTTTTCTTTCTTATGAAACATTTTGAGTAACGCAAGAAGAATGTCCAATACCTTTTAGTTTGTATACTATTAAAGGGATGAAGATATCCAAGAGGAGTTGGATGTTGTCCATTCCCTGTTGGGTTGTATTCTGTTGAGGATATTTAAGAAATTCAAGAAGACCTGGACACATTTCTATTCCCTGTTTGGTAGGATGAAGATTACCAAAAGGAATTGGGCGGGTGTCTGTTGTCTTATAACTTGTTGTATTCTGATGAAGAGAAAAATAAACTCATGAAAAATTGGACAAGTATCCATTACCAGTTGGGTGGGATGTATGTATCCAAGACGAGTTGGACAGGTGTCGTAATACCTGTAGAAATGTACTCTGATGATGAGTTTTAAGTTACCCAAGAAGAGTTGGACAAGTGTCAATTACCTGTTGGGTGAGATGTAGATATCCAAAAGGAGTTGGACAGGTGTCCATTACCTGTTGGGTAGTATTCTGATGAGGAGATGCAAGAAACCCAAGACGAATTGGACATATGTCCATTACCTGTTGGGTGGGATGTAGATATCCAAGAGGAGTTGGACAGGTGTCCATAACCTGTTGGGTAGTATTCTGATGATGCAATTCAAGAAACCGAAGAAAATGTGGACAAATGTTCATTACCTGTTGGGTGGAATGTAGATATCCAAGAGGAATTGGACAGGTGTCCGTTACCTGTTGGGTGGTATTCTGATGAAGCAATTCAAGAAACCCAAGAAGAATTGGACAAGTGTCCATTACCTGTTGGGTGGGATGTAGATACCCAAGAGGAGTTGGACAGGTGTCCATTTCTTGTTGGGCTGTATTCTGATAAAGTGATTTAAGAAACCCAAGAAGAATTTGACAAATGTCCATTACCTGTTAGGTGGAATGTAGATATCCAAGAGGAATTGGACAGGTTTCCATGACTTGTTGGGTGGTGATCTGGTGAAGGGCTTTAAGACACCCAGGAAGAATTGGACAAATGTCCATTACCTGTTGGGTGGAATGTATATATCCAAGAGGAATTGGTCAGGTGTCCATTACCTGTTGGGTTGTATTCTGATGAGGAGATTCAAGAAACCCAAGAAGAATTGGACAAGTGTCCATTTCCTGTTGAGTGGGATGTTGATATCCAAGAGGAGTTGGACAGGTGTTCATTACCTGTTAGGTGGTATTCTGATCGATGAAGCAATTCAAGAAACCCAAGTAGAATTGGACAACTGTCCATTATCTGTTAGGTGGGATATAGATTTCCAAGAGGAGTTGGACAGGTGTGTAATACCTGTTGGGTCTTACGTCCTACCCAAGGGGTAATATGCACATGCCCAATTGCTCTTTGGTAATTTAAACAGGTTTTGGACACTTGTCCAAAGCCCTTTGGATACTTCATTCCACCCAACACCTAATGGACATTTGATAATTATTTATCGGACATGACGCAAAATGGCTCTCCTTTAATACTTATTTTTTATTATTCAAGAAAAGTTGAGCAGAGTCTGAGATGTGTTGAGTTTTGCTAGCATAATTCAGTTATTTACATTTCGGTTTCAATATATTTAGGTTTCAATATATTTCAATATTAGATATTTTAAAATATACAGGTGTATATCTTAATTGCTAAGAACAAATTAGTTAGGTGTTACAATAAAAGAGCTATATCACAGAAATTGACAAAAATGTGTGATCAAAACCAATGGTTTTCAGTCTTGTCTGAATTTACCAGCAAACATTAAAAATATAATAAATTTGGAATGAATAATAAACAATAAGAAAAAACCCAATAAAATATGGACATTGGGATTTATATCCAATAAGATTTGGACAGTTACTACCCAAGTAATGCTCTCTCGTATGTACACTTTTTTGGTATCAAACGAGCAGTATCTAATAGGACTTAGACTTGATGTACCCAATACATAACCAAATGTGTGTCGACAGACGTACAGACGGACGGAATTAACGATTACTATATACCCTCCCGCTTTTCAAGCGAGGGGTATAAATATGTAAAGAAAGCCGTAAAGTTATTAAAACAATTTAATTAGAGGAATTTCCCTTCCAACTGAATGTTGATTGAGAAAAATGTATGATGTTTTTGATTTTCAACAGATGTCAATGCTGAGTTGAAAACACCCTCAGATTTGTCGGAAAGTTGAAGTTATTGTGAAATATTTCGAAGCAAAGTAATAGTATAACATTTCAAGTTTTCATGGACGCAACGAGTTATTTACATGACGAAAAAGTTACAAATATAGGGCTGCACCGATGCGATTTATGTGTAGCACTTCAAAAAGGTAAAAATCCTTACGTCGCGGGTTCGAATCCCACTGCGGGAGGTGGAGACCAGTCATTCGGATGAGACCGTATAAACCGAGGTCCCATGTCGCAGTAGGTGCTGGCACGAAAAAGAACCTCCCTGCTCAATGGCCCTGAGTGCCGAGCATAGAACAAAATTTGCAGCTCTCCACCGGCAAGTGGTGGCGTCTCCATATGAGTGAAAAATTCTCGAGAGAGACGTTAAACAATATACAATCAACCAATCAATCAAAAAGGTAAAATTGACCGTCACGTGATCAATGAGTTCATGTGACATCGTAACATATTTATATATAGCCTAGGAAACTCTCTATATGAATTGGTCGTATTATGTATAAAACTTAAAAATAAAACTTAAAATCGACCTTGCAATGCAGTGTTACGTGTTAAACGCATTTAAAGCTATGAGAAGCCTTAACAGTACTGCGAATTTAAATACTGCGATATTGTTTATTGTTGTTTTTTTTGTGAATAGCAGACGGCAGTTAACCTTTTCTTCTTGTTTATCTACGGGATGTACACCTTATTGACAAAAGAATTGTTTACTTGAATAGTAAGAAATCAAACAGGAAATTAACAAAATAAAAAAAAAACAAGGAAATAATTGTCAATTACACGATTACTGATGAAAACAAACTAGATTGCATACATGTTTTTCTAAAATTTAAGGTAAGCTGCAATTTTTTAAGTGATGATTAGTATTTGATATAGCGAACTTTCAGTAAAATTTTGCCAAAAATGCACATAAATTTAAACATAAAAAGTTTAATAAAGTATTAATCTTTCATTCCTTGTTTAAATCAATCATTATGATATGAAATGAATCTTTCCGCATGTACAATTTATTGTTGTCTGAAATATAATTTAATTTAAACGTTGCTTTTTTAAACAAAACAATAGGGTTTGGAAACTTACATATATTTTTTTCAGATATACGTCTGAATTAAAGTAAGATATGAAATTCATACACATTTTGTTATCATGCTGTGCATTTTGTCTGAATAAAGGCTATGATTTTTTTTAAATAATTCATTATAGTATATAATATAATGATTCTTTTATCGATAAGACCCAACAATGGCAAAAATACATATGTATCGTATCTATCATAATTTTAATGAATGTTTAAAAATAAAGCTGATTTACACATGCATGAGAAGATAGGCATAATCAATACTTTTTTATCATAATGGAATTAAAATGAAACCCTTGAGCAAAGGATACGTTTTTATTTTCATAACAAAAAAAAACAATTGAATGATCTCTTTATAATTCTGCATACATAAATATATTTCAAACAGGGTTAATAACATGTGAGAAAACAAAAATGAACTGGTTTGAAGCTCAGGAAAATTGTAAACAAAGAGGAGGTATTCTACCAGATACAGAAGATATAACGAATTCCCTAAGCTGGGCCGGGAAGTATCGACGGATTTCACTATTGATACAGATTTTAGGTAATTAAATAAAATAAGATATCCATCAATATTTTTAGTATAATTGTTTCCTTTATATACTTTAGTTATCTTGTTCTATACGTTTGTGGATTTTAACATGTAAATATTGTGTAAAGATATACAAGTACATTAGTGGTTATTTTCAATAAATAGTTCATCACTTTCATTTATATTTTTTTTTTCAAATTTATAGAAGTATGAAAAAAATCAATGTTTTATGATGTTTATTATCCTTTTAGGTTGTTATGATGATAGTTTTATACAATCAACAAATGCGCATAAAATGCAAACTTCATCTGCAGGATTTTGCCAGGAGATATGTCTCTCATCTAATTTATTTGTTTTTGCCATAAAGGTATGATTGTAAAATATTGTTTAATTTCGTATCTATTAAATGGGCACGAGCATTCAGAGATCAAAATGATTTTAATTAAAATACTGTAAGTAATGTAAACAGATACATGTATTTTGATTTCATATGTTATCTATTACAATTATGTATTCAATCATAAAGTTTTGCAAATTCTATTGTTATGTTTTATTCTTAGGACTTTGAGTGTAGATGTTTAGAACAAATACCACAGAAAGGGAAGGTTTCCACATCATTATGTAATGCATCTTGTGAGTGGGGTGAGGAGCCTTACTTTGATGACTGTGGAGGGATTGAAACGTATTCTGTATTTCAATCAGGTACTTTTGTGGTGATTTCATGACTACCCGTCGGCAGGGGATGCTCACTCCTCCATGGCACCTGATCCCACCTCTAATGTTTTGGGGGTCCGTGTTTTCTCTACCCCTGTTTTGTATTGTTTTATGGACTTTTGATCTTGAATACTGTTCCTTTTGTCCATATGTTTTCACTATGTTAATATAAATGATGAAGAAAAGACATTTAAAGTTTGATTATTAGTCCCCTACCGGTGAAACCGGAGGGGACTATAGGTTTCCTCTGCGTCCGTCCGTCCGTCCGTCCGTCCGTCTGTCTGTCCCCGTCAGTCTGTCCCACTTGGTTTTCCGCACTTTTTTTCTAAACGCTTGCAGATATTGAGCTGAATTTTGGTATGTGAGTGTATCTTAATGAGTTACAGATCAAGTTCGAATTTTGCTTCGCTTCATTGATTTTTGTCAGAATTATGGCATTTTGAATATTTGTCATAATCGCTAAATTATGATCGGGTTCGAACTGCACTAACTTTCAGTTTTACCTTGGACATGACTTTTGCTTATTATAAAATGACATCCTGAAGAAAAAGTGGAACCCGGTAGGGGACATGTATTGCTTATGCAATACTCTCAGAATGCTTGCTATTATTATTTTTTATCCTGTTTTTATGTGCTTAATCAAATATACTAGTATGTTCCGTTTTCTATTTTTAAACAATATTTATAGGTTCAAAGGATGAAAGAGCTGCCGACGTTTATACAACCGCCTGTGTTGCTATTCAATGTTCTGTGCTGCCGAATTGCACATTGCACTACGAACAAAACTGTTCTCTTCTATATAAACCGTTCTGTGACACGACAGGTGCGTTATTCTGCTCATTTTAATTAACCTAGTTTAACTTTCATGACTTTAGATAAATATTTTTGTACTGAAATTATGTTACAATATGTTGATACTTGACGAATATTAAATTGAGTAACTTTCAGATTTATACACTAAACATACCTCACTAAATGCTTTATTTATGCCTCAGAATCAAACACATCAGCAACATGGATCGAATCCATGAGGATTTGTAGATCAATGTCATATTTGCCTGATTTTAGTAAAGAAATATTTCTACATGATATTAACAAGACGTGTAAGGAAATCGGTGGAAACCAGACTGAAAGATATTGGCTTGGTGTGGCAAAGGAAAAGTACATCGGGTTTGACAGAGGCAAGTTATAAGTAAAATGTATATTACACAGACGCTTTGTTAAGAGGCGTTCTTTAAGCTTAGGAAAGCTAAATATCTAACTATGCTGAAAAACTTGGGACTTTTGACTTTCAGTCTGTATATTTAACAGTCTGTTAACTTAATAGACTTTCAAGAAAAAATACAATTGAAAAGTTTTAGGAATAAATTGCCTAGCTACATTAAAATTGATCTGATGGACAACAGTATGTTCATTTAATTTCTTTTTCTGTTTAACTAAATTCAAGTTATCAATTTTTTTTAGGAAAGATACACCTACACTGCTTTTGAATTTTCACAATGATATCAACGGTCTGTTAAAAGTCAGCATTGCACAATTATTTGGCCAATATACAGACCTTACAAGCAAATACATTCTGCCATTTAGTCGAATGTCGACTGGCGTTTTTCATACAAAATACAAGGCCACTATTTTCAACATATGTGTTTACAAATCTTTCCGGATACCTGATGATGATAAGGAGAACACGGCAAATGTGCCCCGTCGACAGGGGATACTTACTCCTTAAGGCACCTGAACTTACGAAGACGCTTTCTGTACTCTCTCTCTCTCCATTCAAGTGTGAAAGGGTATGACAATATATCATAAAAAAACAATGTTTCCTGTTAAGAAATAATTAACGGCTTTTCTCCAAATTTACGGTATTTTTTAAATCGGTCCAAATTCCTGTTAATCTCCATAAAATTAACTTCAGCCATGTTGCTGCTTTGAAGAAAATAATAAATTAGTAATAACTGTAGACCAGCCCCATGTCATAATTTTACTGCTCTATTTCACTTGCATGCTTAAAGTATTTTTTAAATGCGTATTTTATTTAGAAAAAAATTTTCACTTTCATCCAAAAACATTAGGATGGATAATAAATTACCGAATTTGTATCTATATCTTTAACATCTTTCTGTTGTTTATATTGAAATGTAATGTTGTCATTGTTGATAAATATAGGTGTTCTTTATAATCATTCTGACTGGGAAAAAGATTATTTTATTTCATTTTTTCTATCTGGCTAGAGGACACTGTCATCAAAAATCAAGACAAGGTTTTTTTCATCGAGTGTCATATATGCGACAGGACTACCAAGAGCAACAATGATTGCTACGTCAGATCCTGTGAGGAGCAACTGTTCAAAAGTACACGTATTTTACTTTCAAGAATACATATGTTTGGTGTATTTTTTTTTATCATGAAAAGTATCTAATTATATTACTGATTCTACAAGTTTCTCCCTGTTTTTTCTTAAATATCTGTTGGACAAGAAGAAAAAACAAGCAAAAACAACAGTAATAAAATGAACAACAAAGGAAACCAACATTCCTGAAACAGGAACATGGCAAATTACTACAGAAGCTGATATATCATCAGTGATAACAGGAACACAAAGCATAACAAAAAGTACAAAAATCAGTGAGTGTAAATCTGTACATTCTATTATCATTTGCATTTATTTAGCTGATGTAATATATATAGAGACAATGAACAGTATTCAAGATAAAAGAACATTTTGAACAATAGAAATCGAGATCAATCCGAAACATCAAAAGTGGGTGCGATGAAGATTCAAAATCTCACGCTTTCATTAATTATTCTTTTCTTCTTTATATATAGTCTAAAAAGTAAATTTGAAATTTGAAATTAGAAATTGAAGGCAAATCCATGTTCGGTATTTTGATTATTTAAATTAAATAATATTTATACATAGATACAATTATTCATTAAGCATTTTCATTCCAACTAGATAAAAAAGAAGTACTTCAAATTGTTATCTACCTGGTGGATACTGTATTACTAGGAGGGATCATATTCATTCTACGTCTCATATATCTTCGGTTGGTGATCTTTATAGTTTAAGTAGAATAAAAATAAATCCTTTTAAGTCATGTTTGCAAATCATGTATCAGTTGTTTTCTAAGAAACATGCCATTATTTTTACAGAAATTACTCTTTATCGTTATTTTCGCATTAAAGATAATACAATTTTTTTTTCTTTGGAAGGACTTAATATCATTATATCTCTTATTTTCTAATTATTTTTTATACAGAAAGAAAAAAAAATAAAAAGAATCATAAGATGAAACCAAATCAAAGCCTAAGAAACGTGGGCTATACAGACGTCGATGTCAGTACAGAAGTCGATTTACAGGAAGTCACCGGAATCATTAACCATAATTACTTTGTCCTTGAACTCCGGGAACAACCCCTTCAATCAACAGATACTTCATCTAACACGGAAACGGAGAGTCCTTATATTGACTCAAAAGAAGGTTTTTATGACCATCTCAGAGAACACAGAAAAAAGAAAGTCAACGGAAAAAATACCAATGACGAGGCAATCAAAAGTATTTCAATATCAGATCACCCATACATTGAATTTGTAGAAGTGTATGATAAACACAGAGAGACAAAATGGACAATGGAAGATAATACCAAAGATATAATCAATGATGGTTTTGCAACAACTAGTACAGCTTCAAATCATGCTACTGTTAATAGATGTTATCAATACAAAACAAATAGTACCTTTGACAAAGTATTGAACATTAAATCTAATGAGGCATGTATCAATCTCTCAAACGAGGATGGAAATATAATTTCTGAAAGATTGGATGATGATCATCCATATTTTATTCTGACGCCATAAAACTGAGAGATAGAGAAAAATTCATTGATAATTAAGGAGGTTGGTTCCTGTCATAAATAGTTAAATGAGAATTTTGTCAAAAATGTTTAAAAATCTACTCACATAGCTTAACAAAAAAAAATTGACAAAAAATGTTGCTAAGTGCGATACTTTCAGCATTACAGAGCAATTAACGTGATCCTTTTGCACTATAATTACGTTTAACATATCAATCAATTAGTTTTCAAGGGGGGGTCAAGGTCAAAGCAACGTTATTTGACGTCACAATAGCGACATTTGTTTTTTACCTGTTGACTTTTGCAACTGTGATATAGGCTAAACATTCTTAATAATCAATAACGTACACAATTTACAAAAAGATAATTTAAACATCATTATTCATATTATTATCAGTTTTATTTGATTAATGGAGTTTGTTGATATTAGAAATATCTTCCTTTGGTTGATAATTCATAGCAATTTCAGTTGTGGGAAAATACCTCGATAATATGCTGATATAAGTGCAAAAAGATAAGATAAAATTCAGCAAAGAAAGCGACTAAAATCAAGGAAATATGTTTAATTTTATGTTGACCATTAATTGTATTTTCTCGATAAAACTAAGACAAAAAAAATTAAGAAATGTTCTTGTTCCTATATAATGCTTATTGATTAGTACATTTAGATTATAATGTCATTCCAAAGTTAATTCTTATAGTTGTTGACAGGGAAGGGGTGGGGGGTTAGGCAGAATTATTGGATTCAAAAAGAAAAGATAAAATCAGTGTAAATTGTAACTAACCAAATCACACGTTTGCAATATATCAGTTTACAATCGTTAGAGTAAGGAATTTTCAGGTTAACTTGTTTACCCTGTCATAATCTTGAGGTCCCTGAAAAAGTTCAAAAGGTTTTCTTCTTAAAGTCGTTAACAATTTCCTAATTCTTGTTCGTCCAAGTGGACTAAGATGGTTGGGTAATTTATTTTCTAATTTTTCAGTTTTAAAAAAGAATGTTTTTTTCTTCAGGTGAGCCTTACTGCCTCCGAGTGTCTGATTTATCATGTAATTAATTTTCACGATAATTATCCAATCATTAATCCTAAATTATGTGAAATCAAGTATTAAAAACAGCACTGCCTCTCAGTACTTTCAGTTCTTTGATGAATTTCCTTATTGGCTGCTAGCTTCTACGGGCTTAGTGGCTGCTGTTATTGGCTGCTAGCTTCAGCCTGGTATGTGCTGCAGCACTAAATGTGAAAGCGTAGAAACCATAGAACAAAAGGCAAGAAAAGTCAGGAGCAGTGGACTTGTAGAAGAGTTATTAAATGACATGAAGAAATTTGGACAAAAACTTTCTGAGACAAAATTCAAAAAAGAAAGAAACATAACAGAAATAAAATATATTTATAAGACAATCAGAGACATACGCTGGCCACTACGCTACAGGGGCCCTGATGAAGTGCGGAATTTAAATCATGTTTGATATGACCATTGACTTAGGGACTTCAGGAATTTCTTGAAGAGATACGAAAGTTATGATTTAAAATTATATTTTTAAGGTATAGAATGCCTTTGCTCCATAATTTTGGAAATTAAATTATGTATGTTTGTATGCAAACTTTGAGGATTAACTTTCATAAATATGGAGCGAAGGCCCACTCATATCGAAAAATAGTGTTATGGTGTGAACAATGACTCGTTTTGTCCTCTTTCGTTTATGATAATTAATTCATAGGCAAATAACTTCAATCGTCATAAGAATTGTGCAAGTTGTAGAGAATTTACATAAAGTATACTTAATTGTTAGATAAAATATTAAGGAAAATTTTGATATAATTGAGATTTAATTTTTCACCTTAATGTTTGTTGCGCTATGGGCTTATATCTCGTCCTGTTCACCCATCTCCTTTGCCAGTGAAAAAAGGGATTTTGACAATTAATCTGCACTAAAAGAATAGAATTAATTATACCGACATACTGTAAACCAATTATAATTCGCATCATTTTTTATTTGCAATTTTTCCGTTTAAAATCATTCGCAACTGAGGAAACTGATCAGAAATTGTTTACTACCAATTTAAAGCAGAAGAAATGGTATATATGCGGCGATAAGTATTTGCGAGTAAAAGTAGGTTGCTAAATTTCTTACACATGAATAAAAGTTGGTTTACAGTATACAGTATGTCTATGTTAGACTAAAAATAAATTTGGAAATTCCAAACTGATATAAATCAAATAGGAAAATTTTAGCCTTTTCACTTGCAAATGA